CATAGTACCCTTCAAGGAAAATTACGTCCGTAGGGCAATAAAATGTACTACAACTACACATCTGCCATTTAAGTCCGTATTTCACTATACTTTGAGCACTGCTGCCACAGGTGAACTTTTATTATACAAGACTGCAATGTTCCTGATATAGTAAATCCATGAAACTGAGAATTCTAACTATTGAGTTATTGCACATTTGCTCGGAGTTACTACATCTGGAAGTTCACCTACAGTATATTGTTGTATGATATTGCATTTGAGGCTGAAAACAATTGCAGTAATTAGTATAGATAAAAGGAACCGTTTTGATTTCAGACCTCATGTCCAAGGGGTCTTCAGAATTTGCTGCTGTTCTGTGGTTTTTTGTCTTTGCAAGCAATTAAATTTGAACCCCAAATTAGGCAGCATCAACTCCTTGAGTAATGAGGGTAAGAGGAGCACAAGATTTCTCAGGTCTGCGGTTACCAGTGGACCAGACCAAAGAAAGAGTAAACAGAGTAGCGTCAGCAGGTTTGCTGGAAAATTCCTCAGGTCACGTATGAAGCATCAGGATTCTCCAATGATGCAGTTACCCCAACCATCAGTAGATTACATTCCAAGTCAGAGCCAGGGAAACCTAATGCAGTATATAGTGTATATACCGTAAAGATAAATAAAAAAATATCCATCACAACTTGTGTGCTGCTTCTACATTCCTACAGCTGCACTTGCAAAGCAGGAGGGGAAGTGATCAGGTGGGTGATAGAAATGTGTTCCATGTTCCTTGGTAATGGATCTGGAACATCTTTTGGAATGAAGAGCAGAAACTCAGAGTCCACAAGGTCTCTAATGTGCAAGAGGAGCTCTTTTTTCCTCTCTGCTTCCTGCAGTCCGAATTCTGCTCACTCCGGTTCAGGGAGGAGTCTCTGTTTGCCCACTGACCTCCTCACACAGACTGTGTTATACTGGAGGGGGTGGGGCTGGTCTTTGAGGCACAAGCTGCTTAGCATAGGGAGGTCTAAAAGAGAAAGAAAAAAGACTGTATGTATTTACACCGCCACAGAAGGATTACCACTTACCTCTTACTAGTTGTTTGCAAAGACTTTTAAACAAAAAGTTTAGTATGAAAATGTTTTCATCTTTGAAGCGCAGTTGCATTTTTCTCCACTTTTTAAAACCATGGTGTAATGTTTGTTGTTGAAAAAAAGAAAACGGTTCAAGGTCCATTGTCACTTTTGCATGTTCTCTTGATGTTTCTAAATCTTGCTTGGGTTTAAATCAAATCAAAGTTTATTTATCAAATGCACACAACAATACAGGTTGCAGCAGTAGTTGCTGGCAATGAAATGTTTTTTCTGCGAGCTCACAGAATCACAAAAACACAAAAAAACATCTTGATTGTGCACACTCTGTATCAGTACCAGGTGCTTCTCACTGCAGATTCCATCCAAGTCTCCTTCTTGCCTGGGCCCATTTGAAAG